CCAAAATGTCAAAAAAAAAAAAAAAAAAAAAAAAAAAAAAAAAAGACCGCAGAGGGAAGGGGGAGATGAGAAAATCATTTCCCCTCATCGGTCATACTGCTTCGAGTCTGGGAAAGGAAGCCATGCATACCTTCCCTGGCCGCCTGCCAGAATTCAAATGCCACTCTGAAAGCCTGCGCCACTGTCAGGGTTACTGCTTGTGCCTGTTGTGGGGAAGCGCGCGCGCACGCGCACGCGCGCGCGCACACACACACACACACACACACACACACACACACACAAAAAAGGGAAATGAGTAAACGGAAGAAAAACCACAACTCTTACATAATAACTCATTTCAATCGGCAGTATGGATATTTAGGCACAGAGCTAAAGGAACATAAACAACGTGACCGTTGCCATGAAAATAGAGACACCATGACCTGTTTTAGGTAGCTGGGAGGAGCATTTTGGCAAGAACTACATAAGTGAGGGGAAGGAAGAGGGTGGGGCTCACTTGATCGGGAACCTCTAGGGAATGAGAGAATGATGACAACCTAGCCTCCCTTCTTGTCCTCCCTCCACATCTTTCTTCAGTTCTGACTGAATGTTTGCATGTTAACTTGTCAAAGAGACAAGGTGATTAGATACTACCTAAATTTTTTACCACGAATCTACTTTGGAATTGCTTTGCACTGAAAGCATACACGGTCTTATCTGCTTACCACTTTTCTCTTTGTGCACAGGAAGGCATGACACTCGAGTGCCTCATTGTGTTGGCTCTGGACGATGTAGGCAAACACTTTGTCATGCATCTTATCTGCTGTGCAATAGGATATTCTGAAAAACACAAGACAATTTGAGGACCATGAAAAGCAATGATGCACTAACTAGATCAGAATGTTAGCAGAGTGACACAATTTACTGTAAATGTTTCAATCTTGCGCTTCAAATGCTAGAAGAGCGTCTTTATTCAAATGCTGGATTTTTGGGGGGAGGGGGTTCGCTTGAGTTGTCAGAGCTGTGAATCTCAATGTAGATTTTGGAAATTTATCACAACAATTCATAAAGATGAAGCTAAAAGTATTCCAATTTTAAATCTAGAAGAGCAAAGGAGCCTAGGTTGGCTGGAAGAATTGGAGCAAGCCCTCATGAGATTTAGTGGCAAATGTTTGCAATGGGGGCTTTGGGAAATTCCGTGTCTAACAGTCCAATCAATTTGTTTTATTGATCATCCAAGTTCCTAGAGACTAATGAGGCAGTAAATCTCAGATGGCAAGCTGCTTTATGTCTTCACATCCTGTTGAGATTATTGCATACATTTCAAAAGGTTTTGACAGTGTCAAGTGATAGCTATGTTCAAGATGATGAATAGAACTACTACTTGCACTAAATGACAATCAAAATTGCACTTAAACTGCTAACAAATACTCAGACCCCAGAGTAGAGTCTCAATAAACCAAAATAAATCCAATCTCAGCCCATGTTTCTCATTCTGCCTTGACTATACTTTTCAGTGCGAGATGTTACTTGGAAAATGCCAAACAGTGCATCAATCAGATTTAATATTGATACAGTAGATGGTATAAATCTGAGACAGTAACGGCCTGACACTGACAGCCACATAGCGACATACAAATGAAGGCTTTGCTGTCAATTACACTTAGGCTTGATTCACAATATACTGTAGGTCCAACAACCCAATTCCAAATCCAAACATTCCAAATGACACATATCCATTGACCGTGTGTATATTAACAGAGCTCGGGAAACAACCTTATGTGCAGATGATTAAGTAGCACATAGTTCCCTGGATGTTAACCATTACTTAACATTTAGCTGGTCTGGACTGACTCTTTGCCACCCCACACCACTTCTTCCTTGATTTAAGCAAAATGAAATGAAACAAAGCATAATTGGCCCACTGTTGTTAATAATTGTTCTTATTTAATGACTGACAAATTCCTAACGGTATATTAAACCTGTCTCTTCAAGAGTATATCCAGTTGCTGTAAAATTGAATTTGAATTGTGCCACTTGAGAGCTAAATATATGAATCGTTGTTTCAACCATGCAGCGTAAACGCAGCGAACCAGCCGTAACATTGAGACAAACCAATGAAGGTTTTGCTCGGGAGATACCAATGGTCAGTTTTGACTGACAATACCAGAGATATATTGCTGGTGTACTGCAAAGCACTTGTCATAGTTTGTCAGGCACAAACACCTATTTGTGATGCAGTGCCATGTTGATACTACAATCATGGTGAAACCATGTATTATTTAATGGTAGAAAATTGTGGAATGCAATTCAATGGCCACAATTTCATTGCGCAGGTGTAACAAAAGTAACGGTCATTCAAGGAATTGAACAGATTTCTTAAATTTATGAAAAATAATGAACACAGTTTGTGGAGAAAATTCAAAACTGAAAAATCACGTCGAAATGCCTTCCAATAAAGACTCCAGATTAACTCTCCTTATGCAGACTCATTAAAATGGAACTTGGTAGTCATTTGAGCATGATCCTTTAGCTCGAGGCCAACTGAGGGCAACTCTAAGTTTGCAGGCTGAGGCAGGCAAAAGATTTCTATGGCAATTGGAGGAATGTCTGTGTCACTTGGGTGTGACAGAACGCATGCATGTCAGTCACACCTGCATGAAAGCTCAGACATACAGTTGTTGTGCTGCTTCCTGGCGAGAGCGAGGTACACTGCTGACAGACACACAAAAACCCTGGCGCCTCACACCTCTTGACCCCACACAACAATCCAATGATGGAGAACTAGAAGCATGCGATGAAAACTTTTGTTTTAATCGAATGATGAAGTCAGAAAATATGCAATAACTGGAGCCGCCCCGTTGAATGATTAACTCAGGACATGACATGAGGAGAAGAACTGACCTGTAAATGGAAATGTTTTCTATTAGCTGGTTGGAGGCACTGTCGTAAAGGATGATTCCACGAGGGGAGACTGTTAATGTGACTTTCTGGAGCTTTTTTCCGCTGGCTTTGGCCTGAACAACAAAAGAAAATAAAAACCACGACATAAGTGTGAGACAAAGAAAAAGTATTTTCCATACTTATCACATTTTTTGGATCGTTCAGCCAATTTTAATATCTAAAAAAAACAACCCAAGTAAATACAAAATGCAGGTTTTAAATAATGGTCTCTGGCCCTTTGTGAAAACGTAATTGCATCACCTTGTTGAGTCATCAAGTTAACTGTGATAAACCGTAATTTTTGGAAAACTGAGTTCAATTTTGCAGGCCACACCCAGGCCTGATTATCGCCTGATTTGTTTGACAAATCAATTCAATAGTAGCTCTTAGGCAAATCGAAGTAGGAAACAAGATTTCAAAAAGAAACTTAGGCGTAGAAAAAAAGTAGTGTGTTTCCGGTAACCCGACCGATCGAGAATTTCTACGTCGAAAAAAAACTTTATGGTCGGCATTGTTTTCAAACAACCCTCTACATTTTTGTGTAGAGGGTTTACATTGGTGCAAACTCGCGATATTCACGTTGAGCGCGTGCGTCGTTTGCCCTGTCGTCTGTCAACAACATTTGAAACATGGCGGCGGCCGCGATCTCCGACGACAGTTTAAGCCGCGTTTTCTGTGTTACAGTCGCGTGCTCGCACCGTAATGTTAAGAAAATAGCATCCATTGATGTATCGAAAAAATTCAGCGAACTATTTGATGAACACCACGGGCCGAGTAAAAACCGAGGGCGGAGGAGGACGGCGGAGGAGGACGGCGGAGGAGGACGGCGGAGGCGGCCGGCGGAGGCGGCGGCGCGCCCCGGCCCCCCGAGTCCGGAGCGGGGAGAAAACTAAATAGGTGGCGGTGGCGCCGGCCGCGGAGCGGCGGGTTCAATGTCTTCTTGTTTTATGTTTTATGGTTATTTTGTTGAAATTTTTGATGGAAAAAAAAAAGATCAAAAAAAAAAAAAAAACTTTGTTCGACCTACCGACCCTATGCTTAAAT